CCAGATCCAGCAATACATTCAAAAGATCATAGACCATGATCAAGTAGAATTTATTTCAGGGATGCAAGTTTGGTACAATATCTGCAAATCAATAAATGTGATACACTCCACAAACAAAATGAAGAATAAAAATCACATGATCGTACAAATAGATGCAGAAAAAGCATTTGATAAATTCCAGCACCCATTTATGACAAAAACTTTCAGCAAAGTGGGAATAGAGGGAACACACCTCAACATAATAAAGGCCAATTATGAACACCAACCCTCAATCTCATACTCAGTGGGCAAAAACAACAAGCATTCCCCCTAAGATTGGGAAAAATACAAGGATGTCCACTTTCACCAATCTTATTCAGCACAGCACTGTAAGTCCTAGCCATAGCAAACAGACAAGAAGAAATAAAAGGCATCCAAATTGGAAACTGTCATTATTTGCAGATGACATGATTCTCCTCATATATAGAGAACCCTAAAGACTTCAACATAAAACTGCTAAAACTGATAAACACAAAATAAATATCCAGAAATCATTTTCATAGAGCTTTTTTACATAGTACTAATGAACTCTCAGAAAGGGAAACTAAGAGAACAATCCCATTTACCATTGCATCAAACAAACAAACAAGTAAAATAAAATTAAATAAATAAAATTAAAATAAAATAATAAAATAAAGTAAAAAATAAAATAAAATAAATAAATGCAATACAATACAATACAATACAATACAATACAATACAACAAAATACCTAGGACTAAATTTAATCAAGGATGCAAAGACTTGTACTTGAAAAATTACAGCACACACTGAAGAAAGAAATAGAAGAAAATACAAATAACTGGAAGCACAATACCATGTTTATGGATAGGAAGAATTAACATCATTAAAATGTCCATGCTACCCAAAGCAATCTGTAGATTCAATGCAATTCACTCAAGATAACAATGGCATATTTCACAGAACTTAAATAGATATTTCAAAAGTTTATATGGAACCACAAAAGACCCTGAAAAGCCACAACAATGTAAAGAATAACAAAATGGGAAAAATCACACTTCCTGATCAAACTATACACAAGGCCATAGTAATCAAAACAGCACAGTACTGGCATAAAAACAAACATACAGATCAATAGAACATAGTAGAGAACTGAAAAATAAACCTATGCCTTCATATCATTTAACTTTTGATGAAGGAGGCAAGAACATACCATGGGATAAAATAGTCTGTTCAATAATTGGTGTTGAAAAAATTGGACAGATACATGAAAATTAGACCATTTTCTTACACCATACAGAAGAATAAATTCAAAATGGATTAAAGACTTAAATGTAAGACTCAAAACCATAAAAATCCTAGAAGAATACAGGCAGTAAAATCTCAGTCATTTCTCATAGTAATATTTTTTTCTGATTGTCTCCTCAGGCAAGGAAAACTAAAGAAAAAATAAACAAGTGGGACTACATCATACCAAAAGTTTGTGTACATCAAAGGACCATCAACAAAATGAAAAGACAGCCAACCCACTGAATGGGAGAACATATTTGCCAATGATATATGTGATAAGGGGTTAATATCCAAAGTTTATAAAGAACTTAAATAACTGAACACCAAAAAGACAAACAATCCAATTTAAAAATGGGCAAAGGACCTGAATAGATACTTCTCTAAAGACAACATACTGATGGTCAATGACATATGAAAAAAGATGCTCAACATCACTAATCATCAGAAATAAAAATGAAAACCACGATGAGATATCACCTCACATTTGTCAGGATGGCTATCATCAATAAATCAACAAACAGCTGTTGGCAAGGATGTGGAGAAAGGGAGACCTTCATGTAGTGTTGGTGGGAATGCAGATTAGTGCAGCCACTGTGAAAAGCAGCATGGAGATACCTCAAAAAATTAAACATGGGCACTGCAGCATTATTAACAATAGCCAAGATCTGGAAACAGCCCAATCACCCATCAGTAGATGAATGGATAAAAAATGTGTTCATTTACATAGTGGAATACTACTCAACCGTAAAAAAACAAGGAAATTTTATCTTTTGCAACAGCCTGGATGGACCTGGAGAAATAAGCCAGTCAAAGGAAGACAAGTACCATATTATTTCATTTACATGTGGAACCTAAAGAACAATATAAAGGAACAAAATAGAAACAGACTCATAGACACAGAAAAGAAACAGACAGCTGTCAGAGGGGATGGGGCTTGGAAGGCTTTGTGAAAAAGGTGAATGGATTAAGCAAAACCAACCACCCAACCAAACAAACAAATAAACGAAAACTTACAGACACAGACAACAGTATGGTGATCACCAGAGGAAAGGGGGTTTAGGGGGAGGTGGAAGAGGATATGGGGGGATGAATGGTGATGGGAGGAGACTTGACTTGGGTGGTGAACACTCAGTACAATACACAGATGATGCATTATAGAATTGTATACCTGAAACCTATATAATTGTATTAGTCAATGTTACCACAATAAATTAATTTTTTAAGAAAGAAACTGCTTTCAGCATAGAGGTGTGATATTGGGCAAGTGGTTGATGCAAGGCAGGACTCTGTGTAACTCAACTTGAAAAGAGTCCATCCATTTAGAAGGGAGACACAGAGGATAGACTACATAATACAAACAATGTTTATCTAGATGATAGGGTTATGTCAGATTGTTTTTCTTTTAACTCATCTGCACTTATAAATTTTATTTAATAAACTTTAATTTCCTAGGCCATGCATTACATAAATTATAAAGAAATTGTATTTAATTTAAATTATAGGTATTATAATATATAAATATTAATAAATGTACATGTATATGAATGTACATTAATATATTTTTTTAGAAAAGCAAGCTTTCCTTTTTGCTTTAAATATGCACCTCTACTAAAGATGCTGTACTATAAAAGTTAAATAAGCATAGCTCTTGGCTTTGATAATTTTGCTACACATATTAGTGTTGCTGCCCCAAGAAAAAGGTGAGATTCCAAAGCAAACAACACTGCAATAACTCAGTCATTAACTACAAGGAAGAGAAGGGTATATGAGTGTACGTGTTTTAATTTATTGATGACAGAAAGAGGGGGGGTGGGAGGGAGAGAGAAGAAAGAATGGAAGGAAGGAGAGAGAAAGAAGGAAAGAAAGAAAGAAAAGGGGAGGGAAGAAAGGGGGAGGGAAGGAAAGAGAGAGAAAGAGAGAAAGAAAGAAAGAAAGAAAGAAAGAAAGAAAGAAAGAAAGAAAGAAAGAAAGAAAGAAAAAGAAAGAAAGAAAGAGAAAAGAAAGAAAGAAAGAAAGAAAGAAAGAAAGAAAGAAAGAAAGAAAGAAAGAAAGAAAGAAAGAAAGAAAGAAAGAAAGAAAGAAAGAAAGAAAGAAAGAAAGAAAGAAAGAAAGAAAGAAAGAAAGAAAGAAAGAAAAGACAGGAAGGAAGGAGGGAGGGAGGGAAAAGAGAAAGGGGCGGGGAGGGGAGGGGAGGAAAAGAAGAGAGAGAGAGAAAAACACCAATTTGTTGGCTCACTCACTCAAGCACTCACTGATTGGCTCTTGTCTGTGCCCCGACCACACCCTTGGCTATCTCGACAATGTAACCAACTGAACTACCTGGCCAAGGCGAGAAGTTTGGAGTTTGAGATTTTATAAAAGGTGTCTCCATTTTGAATCTTAAATTTTCTCTAAGGAAGTTTCTGAAGGAACCCAAATATTGCACTTTATTTCTGAAGGGATCGGGGAGAATATTTTTCCCATCATAAGATGGTGCCAGACATTATTGTGTGCACATATTTTCCTTTCAACCTGGTGTAGTCTGGGAACGAGCGCAATCAACAAACTGCCTTTGGAATTTGATATGAATTAAAGCCCAGCCCTGTCACATACTATCTGTAGAATCTTACTAGAATGAATGAAGCTCTCTGAACCTCCCTTTGCCATCTCTAAAATGGAGATGAGGACACCTTCCTCGCTACACGGCCGCTGTAGAATTGACTGAGATGACGTTTACTGACACTCCTGACACTCCGGACACGGTGCCTGGAACGTCGGTGAGACCAGTGAAATGAGTCCATTGGCTTTCAGAGGCTTCGGGACTAAAATGACCCTCCTGAGGCCAAGACTCTTGCGTTAGCCATCCTCAAGCTGGCATTTCTGAGACAGGGGCTCTCTCCCCAAGACGTGGGTGCTGCTCAGGCTTCTAGGCCAAGTACACACACCAGGGCGCGTGAGGAGTGTGTGTGGGCCGGGGGGGTGTGGGGGGGGGGGGAGGCGGGCGCCAAGTTCGCAAACTACAGGAGTGCAAAGCTTAGAAAGATTCTAAGAAGAAAAGAGGAGCAGAAAGAAATTTTTAAAAATTGAGACGGACTGACTGTCTCAAAGACAGGGATTCCCGGAAGGGAAACAAAAACTTTCTTTTTCCGTCGCAACCAGAGTAAACAAAGCTGCTGAGACTCTAGGCAGTGCCCGGACGACTTTTGCAAGAAAGAAGCGGTGCGTTCCAAAGCCTTGGGTGTGACCACTGCCTCGGGCGATTTACACCCTAAACTTCACTGCTGCGGAAAAGTGCGCGAGGTCAGTTCCCGCGAGCGCCAGTTCTGCCCCGTCCCGGCCGCGGACACACCCACCCGCCCAGAGCGGACCTTTAGCTGGACCTGTCCAGAAGACCCCCTCTTCTTTGCAGCCCAGCTGTCCCTCCCGCGACCCGAAACTTCCCAGGCCCCTGCCGCCCCCCGCCGGCACCTCTGGGCGCGGCCCCCGGCCGTCCAGCTGAAGCACTGTCTACCCCGTCTGCCTGGCACCGAGCCCCAAGAAAAGCGAGTTCCCTCTGGGTTTCCCGTGGCCGGCCCTAGAGGGAAAGCCCTGGCAGCCCCGGGGGCGGTCTGTCCACCGCCGGCAGCCTTGGCCCGCACAGCCCGGACCCCCACGCGCGCATCTCCAGGCCCCCAACAGGAGCGCGGCTGCCACCCGCCCGATAGCTCTCGCCTCGGGCGGGAGAACACTCACCAGGGTCAGGAGAACCCGGACCGGGAACATGGCTTCTTAAATTCCCGGCAGCTCTGGTCAGCGGTGTCGGGAGAATGACACCCCGCGGGGTAGCTCCAGATGCCGGTCGCTCCGGGAGCCAGGCCCCGCCCCGGGCGCTGACGCCAGGCCCTGGAAGTCCCTTTCTCCTCTGCAGGAGCCCGAGCACCTGCTCGCCGCGCCTCCGAGACGCCGCAGGCAGCAGAACAAGACGCGCCCCTCCCCCAGCCCCGGGGGCTCGGGTGAAGGCCGGGAAGGAAGCTTTGCTGGGGGAACTCCTGGGCTGGGGACGGCGCCTTTGATTCAGCTACGAACCTCCCTGCGGCGGCCGGGGCGGGGAGGGCGGGGGGCGTCGCGGGGAGCCTGGGGTGAAGAGTCAGGCTTTATTGCACAAATGGGCATTCCCCATTCGGGGCATTTCCGCAGTCGCCCGGTCGGTCGCGTTCAGAGGAGGACCCTGAGAGAGGCTTGCTGTCCTATCCCTACTCCTTTGTAGTTTTCACCGGGAAGGCTGGGCAGAACTTGAACTTCAAATGTTCTGCCGGGGTGCAAGAACTTTAGCTCTTTGCCGCGGACCGTCAGAGGAAGACCTGGCCTTCAGGAGAGGCTCCCGGGAGTCCTGACTACTTTATGCAGTGACAATTTTCAACGAAGAAGATTCATACATTGTGCTATGGGGATTCTGAAAAGAGAGGAGCCTTTAGCTCTTATTTCTCCATAGGAGAAATAATTCTTACCACTTATGACGAAGCACACAGCTCCAGCTGTACTGAACGTTCACAATTACTTCCCCTTCTTTGTTACTCACTATTTCCTAGTAGATTTTCTTTCTTTCTTTTTTTTTTTTTAATATGATTCTTTGGTGCTCTGGGTAACATCGCTGAAAGTCACTATTGTTTTGCAAATGTGAATCTGTCCGTGTGGGTGGTTTTGCAAGAATTTTACAGAAAGGGAAGTCTGGATGATGACTTGGGTTTCGCCCCGCACTTATCTTGCTAGGCCAGTAAATGTTGATCTGCCCTCTCTGCCCCTTCTACCAGCGGACGTGAGTGAGGAAGACCCCGCTGTGCTAGTCCTATTCCTGCAGCCCCCAGCACACAACACAAAAAGAAGTGAATGGGGGTAAGGCTGATGGAATGTTATCTCTGCAGCTTTACTGTGCATCTGAAGCTATTGTGAAATAAACAGTTCGCTGAAAATTGAAAAAGACATCTATAAGAAGAACGAAAGGGGGGAAGGAAGGGGGAAGAGAGAGAGGGCAATTAACAAAATCAACATCTCTTGTGAGTAAATTATAAGTCAGCAACTTTGACAGGTGGTTCTTTCTTAATATTTATCATTTTAGCCCAGTGAGTTGAGTGACTATTAAAATCACTTTACAAGTAAAGAATTGTAGCCAAAAAAAAAAGTTTAAGCAACATTGGCAACATTGGCTAGTTAATAAATAGCAGAGCCAGGAATTAAAGGTAGATATTCTTGCTCCTGAGGCCCTGGCCTTTCCAACCACCCCCACTCCTACAACTAATTACCTTCAAGTTCAATGAGACAGTAATAGGTGCTGTGGGATGGGGGGAATATTTCATGGTCAAATGATTTTAGGAAATTTGGGGTTAATTTAATTCAAATAGACCTCTTAATCCAAAAATTCTCAGAGCTCTTAGCATGCTGATATGCACTGCGAATAGCTAAGAGGTGCCTATGATATATACTTCCCCCCAAACTTTTGTCTTCTTTATAAAGTCCTTTGAAGAGGACCTATTGAATGATCACTTCTTGAATGCTGGTGTTCTGGGGAGAACAGTTTGGACATCTTTAAAGGTCATTTTTATTTTAATAACACATTCCTAAGGCCTCCAATCCTTCAAAAGGAAAAAATACAATTTTAATAATAGAATGTCAGGCCTTCTACCAGATGTGGGAGATATTTTGGACCCAAAACATACCATATAAGTGAAAGCTTCCTTTTCCTCTGAAGATATCCTTGCCATTGAACATCTCATTTTGAGTAACATTTAAACACATCTGAATATGTAAAAATACTGGGGAGAAAAAACCTTCAACACCTTTCTACCGCCGAGTTTATTTTTATTCCCCTTCCCCATGGACCTCATGTTTTAAATATTTTTGTTAACCAAATTGCTGTAACAATATGTTGACTTTATTAATTCCCAACTGTAGTGAACATGTGTGACTGTTTTTCCTACATCTTTCCCCCTCCTTCCTGGTAATGGCACTTCCAAGTTGTCTTTGGAAAAATTGCCCCTCTTCCCTCTTACGAACTATTTAGTGTGTGTAACTGTATTAGTCAGTTTCAGAAAAACAGAACCAAGGGAACAGATGAATTGCAATGTATATCGAGATCTCTATTTATGCTTAGACAGGTAGATAGACCGATAGATGTATTTTAAGGAATTGGTTTCTGTCATTGTAGAGCCTGGCAAGTCCAACACTGCAAGGCAGGCTGGTAGGCTGGAGATCCAGGGAAGAATACAGTTTGAGTCCAAAGTCCCTCTCTCTCAGGGAAGCTCTTTCGCAAGGCATTCCACTCACTGGATAAGGCCCATGCACAGTATGAAGGACAACTACATTACTCACAGCCTATTGATTTAATTGCTAATCCCAACCAAAAAATACATTCACTGAAACATCTAAACTACCACCAAATATTTGGGTCCTGAGGCCTAGCCGAGTTGACCATCACAGGAGCATGGACACCAATCCCAAGGCTTTTGTTTGCAGGCAGGTGAGAGGAAGAGGGGGACAGGGAACTCCATTTGGTTGAGGCAGCCAGCACATCACATTCAACTGGAGTAAACTTTGTGGTGTTTGCTGGAAACAGGAGGACACAATCCCTCCTCCACTGGATTTGGAGTGGGAATGTGTGAAGTATGGGACTCATGTGGTCGTGAAGAAAACTCGAGAACCTGCCAGCCCTGGAGCCCGAGGCACCCCACGCTCAGAGGAGACCTCGCTGAGAGGCAGAGCCTAACAGTGTCACCCAAGTCCCACCTTCATCGTGAAATCAAACCCTGGGCTCCCCACAGTTACCCAATTCAATCCATTCTCAGTTTTTGCTTAAGCCCGATTCTTACAACTAATAGAATCCTAACATACATCACCAGAGTTTATGATCAGCGTAAGAAATCCTCTGTTACCAAAATTAGTTGTTACAAGTTATCTATTACAGTTTCCACCTTAAGTAAGAATAATTGCCTAAAATACAGAGGGACATTACTAAAATTTTTTCTATCACTAGAGGGTGCCAGATACCACATCAGCCAAGTGAGGAAGAAAATTATGTAATTCCTGTCAATTATTAGAAATATATTTAGATTCTTTTTCAATTTTTTATTTTTATTTTCTTATTGTTGTTCAGGTACAGTTTCTGCCTTTCCCCCCAGCAGCACAAGCCCCCCTCCGTCCCCCCTCCCTCCTGTTTCCACTCCCCCCACCCTCGTTATTGTCCATGTGTCCTTTATAATTGTTCCTGCAAACCCTTTACCCTTTTCCCCTATATTTAGGTTCTTAGGAAAGGGAAGAAAAAGGAGACAGATAACCTGTGCCCCTGCTCACAGAGACATTTTCATTTCCCTGAGAACATATTTCTAACAGAGTTAAAGAAATGATGTACTGTATGCAAAGCACCGACCACATTCAAATACAAGCTACTACTTTTGCATTGCTTGCCCTAAATGAGGTGCCTTCCCAGGCCAGTTCGCTAATTTGGGGTTACAGTTTGAATGAAAGCCAAGGTAAGTAGTTTACAACCCCCTCCTGTACCATATTCTGTGTGCATGTGTTCCCGGCCCGGCGGTGCTGCACACAGCATGGGCTTGGCACCTGGCTGACCGGGGTGCAAATGTTGGCCCCTGAGATGTGGAGCAAGTTATTCAACCTCCCAACTTCTCCCATGGTTAAACGGATACACCAACCTCCCTCTTGAACAAGAACCTGAAGAAGATGACTGCTTACAGAGCACTGTTAGAATGGAGCAGCCAGGACACAGAGAGCGTTCTGAGCAGCAAGCATTTAGATAAAACCCTTCTTTATGCATAGGCCCTGGTTTTGTAATCCAGTCAGGCACTCCTCCCCTGAGTACCCTGAAAGCACAAATAGCCTAAGAATCCACACAGAAGAGTGTACCCACCCGCAGGGGTTTAAAACCCATGCATGAAATGGTAGAGACTGCTTGTCAAGAAGTGCTTGAGATTCAAAGCTTTGCTTAAAGCAATGTTTTTTAGACATCAGCCCACCTTTTGCTATTTCTGTGGTCCACTCATACTCTCATTTAACTAGTATATTAGTATGTACATATATATATATATTTAAATCAGCCTACTTTGTTTCTAACCAATGTTCTGTTTAAGATGAAATATTACACTATAACTCTAAATGGAAGATCGGCATTCCAAGATAGAAAGTATCCATAAAAATGAATACACAACCACTGAACAAAGTATTTGCCTGCATACTTCTAAACAGTGCTTCCCAAACCACCAATGCTAAAGGCACTATACTTGCTGAAAGGTTGACTTAAGGCCATAGCAGTTTGCTCTCTGTTTTAGCCTTCTTCTCTGCTCCCAGATGACCACCAGAGAAAAGACCAACAAGCCCAGGCCTCAGATCCTCCCCAGGAGACCGGAAGGGAGGTGATGTGTAAGAGCAAGAGAAGTTGTCAGAGAAGTCACTGTCTCTGATGCCCATGTAGTGCTGGAAGAGTGAGATTGGGGGTGGGGATGGCCTCTCCCATGACACCAGCCTTTCCCCACTAAAACAAGCTGTGTGACAGCTTAAGGGAGATGATGCATGGGGAAGAGGAGAGTACTCCTGCAGAGCTAGGAGGAGAATTGGAGTGGGATGTTGGAGGAAGGACGACAGGGAAGCTGGAGGCTGGTTTAGAGCACATAGTTCTTGGACAGAAGGGAGAAGTAGATGGTTTTCTGCAGAAGATGACCATGGTCAACTAACACAGAATAGTGAGAAGGACAGACACGTGGGTTTTAATCCTAGTCCAGTTAATTCCCTAGGTGGGAGAAACTTTGCATAATATTTAACCTCCCTCAGACTCAATTTTCTCACCTGGTCAACATTAGGCCCTTTCAGCAACAATGATTTGCCTGGGAATTGGCCTTGCATTTTATAATCTTATTTTATCTTATTTTTGCAATTTGCAAATGGCCTTTTCAAAGCCATGTGGCCCATCAACACCTATTATAAGTGACCATTTAGGCGGGCCTGCCCATGACTGCCAACATCAGTGCCTCTAGCTACCTGTGCTGCTCTCCTCCTTCGCCAGGTGAGAGAGTATAACATTGCCTGTGCCCCACCATCTTGGCTTCTCCCCAAAGAAAACAGAATTTCAGAAATTTTCTGGAAAGCACTAAAACGGGATCATTAGATCAGGCTCTTCATTCCCATGATTACCCAGTGTCCACTCTGATCATGTGTGGTCTGAAGGTGAAGAGACCTCTCTCTGTATAAATACATGACTTGGCCCAATGATCTCACGAATAACTAAATGCAAACTGCATTGTTCTAAACCATAATGAGAAATGCCCCCATAAAGGAAGGTGGCACAGATATACAATTTTAAAAATTGTTTTAAGTTTCTAAGCACCCCTTCTTCACATACACAATGCTTTCTAGGAAGGATCATTCTCTCTAGAAGATTCTCCTCAGTGTCACAGTGGGTACGGAGTGGCTGGATGTGACAGAATGACCTCGCATGAGACAGGGGCGGGGGACTTAGGGTGGGAGTGCAGCTATATGGGGGGAGGGGCGAGTGGTAAGAGGGGCGAGTGGTAAGGGGGGTAAGTCAAGACAGGAGCCAGGGAGGTGATATCAATATGTGATCGGGAGAAATGACTTGGGGAAAGACATGTATGATGGAATTTTTTCCCAAAGAAATGCTCTTTGTTATGCCCTGCTCGAAGGGTCTGCTCTCTGTGGACAATCACAATACACTTGGTTGGATTAGATTTCTTGTGGCAGGGGGAAAGGGGCCAGCAGAAGCATGGAGTCAGGGGACAGCAGAATCCAGAGGTCTATACACACTTAGAACAAGACCTGTCACAGCTCGAGAAAGGCCTGGCTGCTCAGAGAACATGGGCCCAATCTGGCTCGAAGAACTTGAAGTTCTTCTAGTGCATTAAATGAAGCCAAACAAAAATCAGCACAAACATCAAAATGGGTTGGCAAAAACTGTGGTGTCTTAAGTGTTTCCATTTAGCAAACTGGTGCTTTTCACACTTTAGATTTCAATGCAAAATCTCCTGTGGGGCTAGTGTCAAAATCTATATTTAAGGCCCTTTAGGGATGTCAGGCCTGGCCATTTTGACCCATGCTTCATAGCCTCTGACCTCCAGCTACAGAATCCATGGGTGGGACACACCTTTGGGACCACCAGCTCAACGCCTCCCACTCTAAACCAGACTGTTTTACCAGCCCCAAGCACCAGCCTTAGCTTGGATCCTTCCAGCACTGGCCACCCTGCCTCCCAAGGCGATTCATTCTGGCAGAACACTCTCCAGTGGTTGGATGTTCTCCCCAGGCCATTCCTTCCTGTAGTTTGACAAGCGTTTGTTCAATATCCTCTATGCAAAGGACCCCACTTATAAACAGAAGCGGAAGAGCAGGCGTTAGTGGTGAATCTCCCCTCCACCCCAGGTTGGAAGGGGCATTTTTCAATCTAAAACCTCCCCATAGTCCTTCACAAACCTGTGTCTTAAGAGTTTGTTTGTTTGTTTTTTTATCCAGGTAACAAGGATAATGAGTCAGCCTGACTCCCTAGTCATAGGAAACTAAGGGGAATTGAGACTTTTCTAGCAGCCTCCACACCAGGGAAAGACACGAGCAGGCATTCCCCGCCTCCTTCGGGCTGTGAAATCCCCTTTGGATTTCTAAATTATCCAAGAATGTATCACGATTCTTTTTAAGTGCTCTTCAAGTTTATTTTCACTTAAACCATGAAAATACGTTGGGAGGAATCATTTAAGGAGATAGAATTGTTGAGTCAAACAAAAATAAAGTTTAATTAATAATAATGATATCTAATGCTGATGCAGTGCTGGGGAAATTTGTGAGTGCTATGTGTGCCTGCTAACTCATCTAAACCTCTCACCTCCCTCAGGAAGAGGAAGCCCTGTTCCCTCTCACTTGACAGATGAGAAACACGTAGTGACTTGCCCAAAGTCACGTGGGTACTAGGTGGCAGAAGTGAATTTCTGAAGCCTGGGCTGATCCACTTCCTCTTCAAAAAAAGTTGCATCAGTGGCCTTATGATTAAGTCGTAAACTCCCTAAGTAAGGAAGTACAAATTGTTGTGTTGTTCTGTTGAACACATGCTGTCCTATTATTGATTAAAATCATATTTTTATCATTTTTCTTAATGTCAGGCTTTGTTTCCTAAGATTACAATTTCATGAGCTAAGGGACTCCTTGTTGCACTGAGTGATTCTATCGAGCAGGAAATTTTGTTCTCCTTTCTGACAATCTTGCTTATGCAGGTTGGATTGAGATAAAGACTGTGATAATTAAGATTGTGTGGTCATAACCCCACATTCTAACTCAGTGCTTCCCAGATTTTAATATGCAGAAAAATCACTGGGTGACATTATTAAAATTCATATTCTGTTTCAGTGGGTATGAAGGAGAGCATGAGATGCTGTATTCTTCACCAGCTCCCATGTGATGCTGAGGGCACCACCTGGGAAGGACACCTGTCGGCGAGGCTCACCCAGCTCAGGGACACCACCCTTCAGTCTGGTTGGACCTCATACAGATAAAAACTAGCTGACTGTACTTTGAACAGAGTGGCCAGTTGCATTATTATTCAAGGATCTCTTTTGTGGTAATTGTTAGGAAATGTAGAAAAATCAACAAATTAAATCATGTCATAACAAACACATTTTTATCCACTGTCCATTAGCCTACTATTTTCTACTACTTAGGCCCAATTTTCACACAGCAGGAACAAGCCTGCCTTGACTGCACAAATAATTTCTTCCCATCAAGAAAAAAAAAAGAAACTTAGTTCATTTGCAAACACACTGAGCTTTTATTTCCGTGAACAGAAAAAAAAAAAAACTGGCTACAAGCTTGCTGATTCTCTCAGCCAATCAGAAAAACGTGACCATAAATGTCCATGAATTCCCCCCTCAGTGAATCTCTGCTTCTTTTATTTCTGTCGTGGGGCCATGTGCCTTGCAGTTCTGTGCCACATACTCTGCCTTTTATGTCTAAATTTCCCCTCCTTAAAAAAAAAACTCAGTGGGATCTCTCTAAAAATCTATTGTCTTTTATGTTAAAAGCTGGTAACTTAGTACACATGCAGCTTTTGATGACCTTTTAATAATATCAAACACATTTAGAACACTTCATATGAGCTGGGTATTATTTTAAAGGCTTTATACATAGGATTCCATTTAATGCTCATACAAATCCTGTGAGGTAGGTCTTCTTATGCCCATTACATAGGTGCAATAACTGAGGCAGTTGAGGATCTTGCCTTAGTCATACAGTGAGCGAGTTGCAGAGCTAGGATTTGAACCAGACAATTGCTTCTTTCCTTTAACAATGTGCTACCTTCTTTCTGACCCAGCATGTATGAGCTAATTAAACATTCACTATAAGTTAGACCCTGTTACATGTTATCCCATTTGATTTCCATGCCCACATCTATGAGGAAAGAATAACTTTTCTTATTCACGTAAACAGGTACCTTGATCAAATTCCTGAGGCAAGTGAAGGAAGCTAGATCTGCCTGACTCTAAAGCCAGGGGTTTTTGCACAATATCCTTTCCTCCTGCCTTTTTAGGTGGATGAGACAGTTTTCCTGTTTTGTTGTTTTATTTCATTTTTTTTTAATAGAGTGCCGGTCTTTTTTAAAAAACCAGAGCACAGCCTAGAACACGTCATATAATCTAAGATGGGGACACTTTCTGGAAGGGTCTAAAACACCTTGCCTAACTTTCTGCCACCCTTTTCCCCATCTCACCTCTCCCACCTTCTTCCTATGATCCCATGTCTCCCACTGCCTCTACCTCTACCTGCCCATCTACCTCTGTGTGGCTCTCGTAGCACAGTCGACATCGGATGGAGTTGGGAACTGCCCCTCGCTTGCCTTCCCTGGGCATCCTCCAATGCCCTAATGTCACATTTCTCCATTTTGCTGTTCTTTCCTTGCATGCTACTCTGACCCATACCCAAAATAGAATGTTCTTTTTTTTCCATTTGTAAATATAGCAAAAGTCCATGAAGCACGATGATAAAGGATAAAGCAGTGGCCAGTTCCTTCAAGAAAAGCTGTTCATCTCTTAGCCCAGTGAGGAACACATTGCTAGCATTTATCAAGGCTGCAGCTGCACTAGGCGAGTGCTTTACCCACACACACTCTCATTGGACCCTCCCTTTACCTTTGTATTTCATATTATCCTCATCTTGCAGATTAAGAACCTTAGGTTTCGTGAATTTAAGTAACTTGCCTGAGATCAGAGACCAGTATATGAAAGAGCTGGGATAAAAGACAGGTCTCGTGGCTCCTAATTTAATCCTGTGCCAACTGACCCCACTCCCTCTTTGGTGGTGTGTCTGTGCCCTTTCCTAGGCTGACTTCCTTGTCGTCTGCTTCCACACACCCTGTCCTCGCCTTGTCATCCAAACTGCCCCTCAGGAAGGACCCTCACCTCCACTGAAACAATCCCAATCCCCCTTTCGTTAAGGCAAAATTGAAAACTCAGAGCCTTCCCTCACTTGCTTCACCCCATTGCCACCATTCTAAACTTAGAACTTTCTCAGCACTTTGGAGGAGTGAGTCTAATTTTGTATTTGCAGTCTGTGAAAATTATCTCCCTCCTTAAGAATTTGCACTTCAGCCCTGGTCAGTGTGGTTCAGTTGGTTGGAGTGTTGTCCAGCAACCAAAGGGTTGTGGGTTCGATTGCCGGTTGGGACACATGCCTGGGTTGTGAGTTCGGTCCCTGGTCTGGGTGCATGTGGAAGGCAGCTGATCCATGTTTCTCTCTCACATCGAAGTTTCTTCTCACTCCTTCCCCTCTCCTCTCCTCTCTCTCTAAAAACACAAAACAAACAAACAAACAAAACAATGAAAAAATATCCTCAGGTGAAGATTAAAAAAATTTTACACTTCAGATAAACCCCTATCAACCTGGAGTTGAGCTAGCCCTCTCTGACTTCTCTTTGTCCTGCCACCGTACTTGACTTTGGGTGGCAAGAGACAACACTGCTAATCAGAAAGCAACTTGCTTGAGAGGAAGGCATTATTTTCCACTGTCTTTGAATGGAGGCTTTGAGTTTAAGTCTGTATCCCAATAATCTTCTTAATTAAATGAATATTTATGAGTACTTACTTTGTGGTAGGGGCCGTAACGGGCCCTGAGAATAACAGTGAGAAGGACAAGCACAGTCCCTGTCTTCACAGACTTGAAAAACCAGGGGGGGCAAGACATTAAAGCAATTGTAATAGTCAGCCCCAGCCTCTCCTTGCCTCGGGAAAGGCTTCCCTTCTTCGTCCACTAGACACCACTGTTCTGGTCTCCACGCTGGTTATGCTCAGCATCCTTACTCAAGTGCGTCTCTCAGTCCTCTGTTCCCCTCACTTCTCCAAAGACGCCTAACGCTGCAAGCATCACCTTTTCCCAGATGACTTTCAGATCTCTGCCTCGTGCTCTGACTTCAGTTTACCTTTCCAGTGCACTGTTCTTGATTCCTTCTGATTTTTCACTCACCACCTCCAACTTTCATGCGTCTAAAACTGAGCTCTTTGATTTCCATCCACAGCAGAAGGTCAGAACATTGGATGCAGTGAATGAAATAAAAGGTAAAATTTCATTTTAAGTGGGAGAAGTCCACTTTGGTCTTTGGGCCCACCTGGCCCTCTTCCAATGCCCCAGACCTCTCAGTGTGCTTTGCTTCTTCTGTGTCTGCCAATCCCCTTAACTTGATTGGACACTCCTTGAAAGTAAGGTGTGTTTTCAACTATTCCAGATGGCCAGAGTCTACCCCAAAGTCTTACAGGCACTTTATACATCCATGAGCAGGTGTGTGATGAGGACACAGACACCAGAAACAACCTTTACCGTTTCTTTATGGACTTCCCCAGCATTTGATGGTGGAGTCAGGACTAGATAGCTAGCAAATTATAAGGGCAAGCACCTTTAAGTTTTTATGATGGAATAGGGTTTGGATTTTGTCCTGATTTGTGATTGTAAGACCAAAACAATTACATCTATGCTGCCCTTCCCATCTTGCAAAGTTTGGAGACACACTAAGAATAACAATAAAAATGTCATTTTCAATAATAGAAAGTCAGAGGGGAGAGAGAGAGAGAGAATGAAAATGAATACGAATCAGCCCTAGCTTGTGACCATGATATTCTTTTCTCCCTTCTTTTTAGGGTCATTGCTGCACCAGAGTTTAATTCCATCCCAAGTTGAGTAGCCCGCGTTTTAAGGGTTCTTGACAATTATTTGGCCAGACTCTCATCTCTCCTGAATGTTGGCATCTGCTCCTCGTGAACATCTCTCTTTGAAGTCTGAAAGAATCTAGGCTAGGATGAATCACAAGGCCTGGCTTCTTTAGGAGCCCAGGCTGCCAAAGCACCCTTCTGCAGAGCTTGGAAACTTGCTAGCCTCATTTTTCTCTTTTCTTTATCTCAGCTGTCACCTCCCTTCCACTGCCCCACGCACGCACACAGGTATCGTTCAGTAGAACAAGCTTAATAACAGTGGACCCTGTTCTTAAACATAAAACAACATGGCATTGATTTTTTTTCTCACTGGTGACCATCTTTATGCACATTTATTCTTTATTTCTTTGTTCTCCTGCCTCTGGTCATCCTACCTTTCCCTCCAATAAACAGAAAAGACAAAGGGCCAAGTTTGGCGTGGGTGTAGATCAGGACTGTGTGCCTGGGTCTCCTCTGGGAGATTGTCGGGGTGGGCATCCTCTAAGGACTGAACCTTCTGTCTGAAGGAGCCACTTTTCCCCTCTCTGCCTTCAAAGGCTAGCTTGAATTAAAGCGCCTTTCTCTACTGTTACCTTATTATGGAAGATGGTGGGATTCTGGGTACACACAATAGAGTGAAAAAGTAAAAACAGATTTGGTTTATTAAACAGGATAAGGGAAAAGAGGAACATTCTAGGTTATCATGGTTTGGTTTTCCCTTGGTTTATAACTCTGAAGGTATATGGTGTATGGAGACAACTTTTTCATCCTCAATTTTGCACCCAAATAGCTCACATTGCTACACACCACTTTTATATCCCTCAGTGAGGAAGCAGCAGCAAGCCAGTCTGTCCTGGCCTGGAAGTGAACCTGAAGCGTAATTCACTTCCAGGCTTTACTTTCAAAAATATTTATTGCATTTTTGACAAGTTGCTGTCTTTGCACTGACAGAAGAAAAGGAAGATTTAGGATACAGATGTGAATAGGATGTGGGTCCTGTCTCCTAGGAGAACACAGGGAGGCTACTCTATCATTTATGGGCTAACAGCACGGACTCTGAAAATCAAACCCTGCCTCCACACACATTAGTTATGTGGGCATGGAGCAGTTACTTAGTTTTTCTGGTATTTTAGCTTCCTGATCTGTATAAAGAAGGTGATGACAACAGAATGTATTTTATATGCTTGTTAGGAGGGTATCTGCAATTCAGGGCAAGGGTGTTGCAGAGGCAAAATTGTTAAGAGAGACAAGAGGATGAGGGGTCACTTCAAGCTCTGGGTATCACAGAAGGCTGTATGGAGAAGCTGCCTCTAGAGGTGAACAATGTAGCATGCATTATTGGGAGAGAAGACTCACTTTAACAAATCCCCTTCTGGGCGTGGTCCCTAGGCTCACTGGCGGTAAGGAGGGCGAGCTGGCAGGCCAGTGCGCAGACTGGGCGTGGCCATTTCTTCTCTCCTTTGTGGTTGGGTCCAACAGAACAGAACCTGTCTCTCGCCCATCACTTGCTGACAGGTCAGAGCAGGCATGACGGAGGCTCTCCCAGTGTCCAAGGAAACAGGACTATGCAAGATTCGTGCAGTTACTGCAGATGTGTTGACAGGTTTTCTCAGCTTCAGCTACTTATGTGAAAAGAAGAGCAGGGGCTTTTTAAAACTATTTTAAAAAAATTCAATCCATGAAAGTATTACTTCATTAAATGTCAACTATGCAGGAATGAAGTTTCTCCTTTGGGATCCATAGGAATAATTTTTCTGTTTATCCAAAGGAATCTGGGGACCTAGGCAACAATCTGTAAACCCAAGTGAAGCACCTGAAACAAGGGAAACATACTCCACAAACACTGGCATCATAAGGTCTAATAATATTTAATAAGAGAAAGAATTATTCAATTTTCAAGCCTCAACTTTAACCAAGTGCCTGGACATTTATATTTTACTTTATTTCATAAAGTCTTTTAAGCCATTCTGGTCAACATTTTTTACTATCATGGTCTTTTTAGTTATAAATTCACAATTTCAAATGTCAATAGAATACAATTGTGTTAATTTGAAATTACAATCAATCTCAATACTTAACATATGTTTTTAAATAACACAATATGTCACTAAATTATTTCTCATTATATTTAAGATTATTTACACATATGTTAGCCATTTTCAAATCACTGAAGAGGAAGTCTATTTTAGCTATAGAATGACAAAAAAACTGAGAGTCAAAAAAACTTGAATTAGATCAGTACAATGGAAGAAATATTTAAATGTGGTTAATTTTCTTTCCACTTTTCACGGCTCTGAAAATGAGCCACTATATTGACCTCAACCTCATCAGCCTCTTTGTTTGAGACTGAATACTACCCTCCCATCTTTGCCCTGGCATTTTGATAACACTGTTATATATTAACATATTAATTACATTTTATCATTTGCCCATTATATAATTAATAGAATTATTTATTAATAAAATTCATAATAATAATCTGTGATAGAGTTCCACTCTGGAAAGGATGTAGGATTCATTGGCTGGGTCATTCTGCCCCAGCTGCATGCTTAGGTGGTGCCACAGCTTTTGGCAACAATTACCTGGAGAACCTTTAGGAGCTAGATAAGGCCTCTGCCACAAACATCGATTCTAAATTAAACTCATTGAATTGCAGCTGTACAGCACTGTGGTGTAACACCGTAGCAATAGGATTGCAGTATTAGCAGTATACACTAACACTACACCAAACATCGTCCACATCCAAGGGGAGAAGACAGGCTTTCACTGCCCAAGCGGTTTAGTATCTCTCTGTTTATGTCCTTGCTTTTACCCTAGAATATTTATGGAAAGCCTACTGTGTGCCAGCCACTGGTTTATGTCCTAGAGATGCAGGAATGAAAAAAGAAAACTCCTACCTTTATGAAGCTTACAATCCAGGGGGAAGGCAGGCCAGGCCCATGTTTTACAGAGTCCAGAACCCACACGTTTGTTTTCTAATGGTTCCATTCTCTTCCTTTCCATGCTGCTGTCTATGTTCTCCCTGCCTTTCCATTTGAGATTCTTGACATATTGTTACCAAACAAAGTGGGATGCCAAGCACAGGCATAACACAAAGATTGATGGGGAAGGAAAAAGATCTATGTTAAAAGGTTGCCTAATTTGGGGCAATGGGGACTCCCTGGCTCCAGGCCAATCTCTTCCACAAAACAGAGAACCCAGCCACCCTCAGAGCCAGAGTCAGTATCCAGGCACCCCACTCATTCTTACCTGTCTTTCTGTGGCCCAAGGCTAGTATGTGAATGGGTCTCTGGTTTCAGGTTCTCTCTGCCAGGAGTGCACACTTGTGGGGCTGGCATCGCTATTGCCTTCCCTCAGCTTCTTTCCCTTCCTGCAGCCTGGAGCCACTTCTAGACCACTGCAGCCAGTTGTGCAGGGGGGTTCCTTTCACCAGACCCTCAGCACCTGAGGCTGCTGACACTATGAGGGCTGGCAAGGACTCCAGCCCAAGCATCTGTGTGTTGATCTCAGAGCAAGTGAAGAGGCACAGTCCAGGACCTGTGTGGCAGGAAGCCACGGCATCTCACGGGCCACCACTTGTGAGGCACGGGGCCCCGGGGTGCTGCACACGGGGACCTCCCTCGGGCGCAAGTCAGCTCCTGACCAGGCAAGCGAGGCGCAGTGGAAGGAAAAGAGCACGAGTGCTCTGGCACCCTGATCTGGTGAGTGAGGGCAAGGAAAAAAGGGAGTGAGTCTTCACACGCCCTCCGTTTAAAAGTCTGGCCCCAAAATCCAATGAGCAGCAGAAGTGTCCGAATTCCCAGCTCATCGGGCCAGCGTCCATCATGCTCACCAGACTGCACAGCGTCTCGGTCCCTTCTCCTGCCGCCATGATAACCTCCATGGTACCTGTGTTGTGACCTGTTCAGTCGTGCATACTCTGTGCAAGCTACTTCCTGCTGTGTCACGAGCAAGCTCCTTTGTTCATCCCTGTCAGGGGCATGGAAATCTATCACGTACCACATGCCGTTTCAATTCTACACCTTGGGCGCTTCCTGACCCACCTTCGGGGTCCCTTCCCTTTACCCAGTGGTCTGGCCCCATCCCTCTGTAACCGTACCATAGTTCTGGGAAACTAAGAATGACAGGAAATTTCTTTAATGTTTAATTTGTAACAAGAAAAGCACAAGCAGGTGATATTATCAGTTTCCTTTTCCAAAAAAATCACAGTACTTTTGTCCTTCTAAATTGACTTCTCTTCACAGGGCCAGCACCTCACTGAGGCACAGGTGCTGATGTCCAGGAGTTTTATTCTGCCTCTGATTCACCACTTTCTTTTTTTATAAATCTTCTTCCTAAACCTTAAAATACCCGGGTGTTCAAAGATTTGGAAAATGTAGAGGCAATGCCATTGCTTGCTTTTGCTTGAGTTGTCCTTTTTTTTAAATTGGTGACTTAAAACACTGTTTCACTTTGACTTCACTTGGTGACTTAATGTGCAACTAATACAATCTGTAAAAATCGTTAAGTACATGAGCACTAATTACATGGTAGAAAATACACTGAACAATTTGCATTATGTTATTTAATGGCCAAAATCACCTTATCATTTCCCCCACATTAAAGATGCAATTTTGAGAGGTGAAGTAAAGTGCTCAGGGCCACAAAGCCGGCACGTCGCTGATCTGGGGTTTGCAACCGGCTCAGCTAACTTCAAGACTGATGTTTATGCCAATGATTTTTAACCTTCTTCATCACATGGCACACACAAACTAATAATTATAATTTTGCAGTGCAACAACAAATATGATTTTTGCCAACCTAACCAAAAATAAGTATCATTTTGATCCATTCCTATCAGATAGCTATTATTGTGTTAACTGTTGTTATTTTGTTATTTGACAATCTAATGGAAAAGAGGTCAGTGCCCTTGAGAAAATAGTCAGGTATTGCATGGTTAAAAATTCTGCAACACACCAGTTGAGAACTGCTGCTCTGGACCCTCTACGCTTTGTCCCAGAAAGATGCCTTGCTCCTGCCTCTCACTGAGGATATTATTTAAAAGAGGGGCCACATTCCATGTATTTTTGACCCTACAACAACAGACCATTTGTCAAATCCCCTAAAATGCTTCCTAAATAGAAAGAAAGATTTATTTTACCAAACAAATGGAGTCTTAAGTGAGCTATGCAAAGGTCAATAGTCAGGTAGAATTAACAAAAATATTTTTATTAACTTAATAACCATCTGGGTACCAGAGGAATTCATTTTGAAAAAGATCACTAACATTTAGTAAATTACATACTATGGCAATTTCTTTTCTCATATATTCAAATTACTTGGGTAGGGCTTTAGCGTCAGTCTCACTTTTAATACGTAAAACATCCAATTTGAAGTGCAGATTCTTTGGACATCTATTTTTGGACAAAATGCCAAGAACATTTTTCTATTTGCTGTTGGTTTCCTAAATAAGGGCCTTGAGAGACTGTTTTCTTTAGTAAAGAGTCAAGCCACATGAAGAATCACTTTAGTCAGGCTATATTTACAGTTCATCTCAATGCCTGGTTTAGTCTTAATTTTAACATAGAACAAAAAAAGCTCTAAAAGTATGTTAATGTAAATATGAAAAACAAACAGGTAATTATGCATGCATGTGTATACATACTTGTTCATGTTTGGCCTGACAGCCTGACAAAAACTAGTTTGCCAGGTGACTTTGGTTCAGCTGCAAAATGAATATAAATTTTATTCAAATGTCTGTAAATTCACACGGATTGGGATTTGTTCCATTAAACACTGTACCTGAGGAAAGAATGGCCTGTTTTAATGAGGCTTTGGAGGCTAGGGAATGGGGGATAAGCACAGCATTGCATCCCAAAAAGGGCATACAGGGCCCATTGCCTTATATCCCCAAGTGCTTCATAAATTGACGAATCAGAAAGACACTGTTTCTAAGTGTTTAAGAGTAAGGAGAACACTGTGAACTCTATGAAAAGATTTCTTAATTTCCCCTCTGTCAATCTCTGGGGCTGCCCTATCACTCTCCTCAACTGGACATTCCACTTCCTGTGTTCCTTAAAGCTGTTCAGATGGTGATGATGATCTGGAGGTCCCTGAGGGTGGCAACCCACTAGGTCCAGGCAGGGATCTCCAAGGTCAGTCTCCATGGGCTCTATCTTAAAGCAGCTCTAGACATCCACCCAGTACTAAGGAATTTCTGACTCTATGGGTCGCACAGAAGAAAGGAGGAGGGGAACAGAAGGGAAGGTCCAGGCAAAATGAAAATAGAAAAATGAAACTTAGAAAAGTTACAACTTATTTTTGGAAATACTAGAGACTTACAAAGTTAGCTTTTAAAATAAAACAACCACAAAATCCATATGGGTTCAATATGCTCTAGTATTCTGCAATGGCTGTTTTCAACAGTGCAGTATACACACATACACACACAGTCTTCCTGTCTGCTGTCCAAAATACCTGCAATGCTACAAAGTTGCTTTTAGGATTCTCAGTTCAAATAGTTATTAAGGAAACAGATCAGAAATAGATCAAAAGGTAAGGGGATACTCACTTGCACAGTACATATACTAAAATAGAAATACAGAATTACTAAAGCACAAATCACATCATTGTATGGGATTTACAGTGTATATTGCAAAAAAAGGAGGGGTAAATATATACTTGTCAGGTTTCCAAATTTTCCATGAAATAGTACAATAGTAAATCTAAGTTGACTGGAAGTTTAAGGATGTGTATTGTAATCCCCAGAGAAATAATGACGACATCGGTCACTATTAAAAGTAACAATAGCCAATTCCTTTTTTTCCTGCTGCCTGAAGACCAGCCAATAGCTGAATTTAAACTCCTGTTAAGTATTAACAACAAACAACTTTGCTTTGTTTCATTAGAAATAGATCATTAATAAGTGGTTCCATTAACAGGAACTTTCTAGTTCTCCAGAAACCTTAGGTTTGCCTTAAATAAATGGTTGGAGAAGCTACAGATAAGCTCACCCCATTAGTGCCTTCCTCTGAACATCCATTTTTGGCTGTTCTCTAGGGAGAAATGGTGCAGCCAGGACAGGAAGAGAGAGATTGCAGAAACTACTGAAGGTGCTGCATGCTGTGGTTTCTGTCTGTGTTATAGCCCTGCTTTTACAAATGTCTTACCAGTAAAAACCAACCAACAAACACTCTTCAAGTGGTTAGCATTGTTCCTCCTGCATCTGGCAAACCCATCAGAAAAAAATTCAAACCCAAATAGTCCAGAGAGGAAGGAGTTAATCAAATAACGGGATTTGGATCTAAACTTTTAGCAGGTGGAGTTTAAGGAAATATGTCTCCCATTCATTCTTAGTTTATTTGTTTGCCCAAACATTCAGACCCTAACGTGAATTGAAACGGGTCATGTTGACAAAGATTGAGACAAAATTACATGGTTCCATTCCGTTGTCACCGGCACAAAACATCCTGTGTGGGGTTGGCTCATTTTGTGTTTGTGTGTGTACTTAGCTGGACTTACTTCATTGAGTTAACAATTTGAGGGTCTAAAACAAATACATAATCTATTATCTTAAATACTTGGAAGTGAGATGTTCATTGAAGCAGCTGAAGTCTTCAACTTGAGGAAGAGTGAGGGTAAGAAAAAATGTCTGCCTTCTCCAGCTTTGGTGTTCTGGAAAACCCTTTCCTGCTAGAACTCACAATTGTCTGGGAAGTGATTGAAAATCAGACTCCATTACTCAGAAAGGTCTCTGTTTTATGATGGTTATACCCTTGAAGGACAAGGCCAAAGAAAGACAAAGTTTGTCTTTACGTGGTGAAATCCTAATGACAGACACAAATTTATCTTTGGTGGTGAAATCCTAATGACAGACACAAACTCACTTTTATTGTTCTGCTATTATGTCCTTCCCACCCGCTAGAACTCCCTGCTGGGGTGAGCTGTGCATAGCTAGAGCTAGATCCGTTCAAGTGGTCCCAGCATTGCTAACTGAATGCCCCCTCCAAAGATCAGGGGTCTGAGCTCCTAGGAAACTCGCGATAAAAATAGTGTTGGAAGTCAAAGGGACCTCAGCGGAGAGAACAAGCCCATCCACAGAACTACTTTTAGGGTGTTTCTGGAGAGTGGAATAGGAGGCAGAGACTGGAGGGATGCTTTTTGGAGAAAGATCTACTCGAATGGAGTGGTGACTTTGCCTATGGGTAGAATAGAAGTTGATAGCATATTTTTCAAGAAGTGCCTATTTCCTGAACGATTAGTCACCATAAAGGCCTAGGCAGAGTTTATAATTTACCAACATCCCCACGAGAGACATTTGCTGAGCCCCTTGTATGTCCTAGGCACTGTGGTAGACTCTGGAGGTACAATCAGAGCCCTTCCCTAGCTTGGGAGAAAGGCGGCCAGTAATGAAACAACCACACGTAAACACGCTGTCACAAGCACTGATGAATACTACAAGGGGAAAGCTGAGTGCCATTAAAATTTATAGCAAGATCTAGCTCAGAAGGTGTGTGGT